GCAAGACACCAAAATGACGAAGCAGATCAGTATAGTCAAGAGAAGCACATGGACTGTTTGAATGCCTGCCCAACCACATCAGGAACTTGTGTTGGATACGCTCCAATCTCGCAATATGAGTTTTTGCTGCTCCGCCCCATATCACGCAACCGAATTCCATGATTGCACGAATGTGGGCATTGAAACCTGTCATTATAGGTCCTGGCGGTAGCCTACGGCCGGCGGGAGCTCGATAACTCTGAAGCGACCTCAAGTACATGCCCAAGGCGCGGTTTACCTTTCTTACAAGTTCATCAATGTGGGGGCCGAATGTCAACTTTGAGTCAAGCAGAACACCAAGATCACGCATCTGGCTCACACGTTCCAGTGCAGTACCGCCAATGTGGTAGGTTGTATCAACAGGCTTTCCACGAAGTATGAACGTGATACTTTTGCATTTAGATGGGTTCAGAGCTAACTTCCACGTACCTGACCAAAGACACAATTTATCTACGTCTGCTTGAAGAGCCAAAGAGTCACTAGCAGTTCGAATGCGACGGTACAATTTCAGATCATCTGCTACATCAGGCACCCAGAAGATATGTCGAGAGGGGCGTCGTTGCAAAATAAGACGAACAGGATTGGCCCACATATGCTGCTCTCCGGCACTCCTGACTGCACACGCACCCAGTCAGAACACTTGCCGTTCAACACTACACTCTGCTCTCTCCTACTCAGGTAAGAACGGAACCAATTGAGAGCGGCACCAGACAAATGGTATGACTTCTGTAGCTTATGTAAAAGCAGAGAGTGGTCAACACTAGTAAAAGCCGACGAACAGTCCGTATAAACTACGTCAGTCTGAGCCCCCTTGGCTATCGAACGCCACAGCTGATCGACAAGACAAGTAAGATTGGTCTCGCATGAACGTCCTGCTAAAAAACCGTGCTGTGCTGAGGATAAAACGGGCGACACGTGTTGAATCACTTGGTCACATATGATGCGCTCACATATTTTGGAACAAATCGGCAAGAGGGAAACCGGGCGATAGTTGCTGGGATTTTTGCGGTCTCCCTTCTTGTGAACCGGGGTAACGTACGCGCGTTTCCAGACTCTAGGAAAGGTGCCCTGGCTCAGCGAAAGTCGAATGAGTTTTGTGATCGGCACAGTGAACTCTGCTGCACACTCCTTCAAAATTCTACCACTAAGACCGTCTGGTCCACAAGCCTTATGCACGTCAAGGGTAAGTAGAATGTTTCTAACTTTGTCACTGCTCACAACAAACCTTTAGATAAAAACATGCTAGAGCGATGAAAACACCATGAATGTGTTCAGTTCAGCAATACGAATCGAATGACATGCAACATGACCTTTCCGTGACCTTGACCTGAGGTCAAATTTTCAAGTTGACCTTTTCAGGTCATCCTGTAGTTCATTCGACGCGTGTCGACGAGACAAACGCGATGCCGGTAAAATCAGCGTGATATAATTTTGGAGTCCAAAGCTATGATGCGAAAACCTTTTCCGCAAAAACGTCCAATTTTGATAGTTTTTGCCCTCTGGAGGCTAACCCGTTGACCTTAGGTCAAATATGAGAACATTTTTCAGAAAGGCTTTTGAAAGAGCCTATCGAATGCGCTTTTCTGCAGTGCTCTAGCTCTATTGGTTCCCGACTTATGCGCCGATTTGTAAAAAGCTGTCAAAATCGGGTACAAAAATCATGAACAATTTATCTTTGGTGACCTCCAGTGAACTCAGCGAAGACCTGATAAAAATGACCTAGATGATTCTGAAAGTTCTTGTAGCGATCTATCTATTGCTTTTTACGGCGTCTTTCTAGCTTGGTTACTTTCCGAGATAATCTGGTGTGGCCAAAAAGGGTCTTTTTGACCCACCATGACGAAGTTGGCTGAGAGGTCCACCCGGGTGCGGGTTAAGATTGAGCAAAAATAAAGCACCAGTGAACTCTAAACTCAGCATGTCCGTGTGCACCGAATGGTTTACTTTCTTACTAGTTAAATTGAACTTAAAATTTTCTTTAACATTAAGTGAACTTCAAGAAATAATGAATTAAGTTCAAGTTAATCAAAGTTCATCATACCGCACGCCATTCTACTCGGCTGACCACATGGAACACAATGACACCATTTTTGAAGCTTTAGCCTCATTGTGTGTCAAGATATTAGCAAAAGCGTATTTTGACCTCAGTTGACCTGATTTGACCCGACCATAGCGGTATTGCAGCATGCAAACACCAGTTAGATGTAAACTAAGGTAGTACAACACAAAACGTTGAAATGGAGCACACATCTCTCATATTTTTACTATTGAAGTCATCCGGGCAAATTTCCTTAGAATTTGTCGTGACCTCTATGTAGATGACCTCAGGTCACCCGAATTCGAAAAACCGGAATGCATATGATGGCACTCGGTGAGCTTTTCATGTCCTGCAAGCAGGGCTGCGGAGTCGGGGTCGGAGTTGGAGTCGGTCGGAGTCGACAATTCTGCCCGGAGTCGGAGTCGGAGTCGCCAAAATCTTACCGGCTCCGACTCCGGAGTCGGAGGAGGTAACGCTGTATGGCTCAACGTAATGTACTGCACCTGTTCCATTGCATTGTGCTCGAAATTAGATTTTGCCGAAAAAAGTATAGTTTGCTGTAACAGGCTGTTTTGGACGAACGTGTTTACGAGCTAAAGAAAAGCTAAAGAAAAGCTCGTAGCTAAAGAAGCAGAAAACTGTGAAATCCCCAAAACCTGCTTTTTAATTCTGCATGTTATTTTGTATGCATATTTGCAACGCAATGCCTTGGAACGCACAAGAGTTTCAGGCAAGATAAAAACATCTCCATTATGAACTTCAAGATCGTGATATATATTTTAATAGAACCGTCCGGAGTCGGAGTCGGAGTCGATTTTTAACCCGCGAGTTGCTGGGGGGGGGGGGGGCGTTAAACGCCCCCACTTTTTTCGCCGGGCCATAGCGGTACCTGTAGGGAATTGATTGAAGTTTATTGTGACAAAGTTTCAAAAAAATCTGTCGGAAAATTTTTGAGATATCGAGGTTTTAGTGACGTCATGATTTCTGAGTTTTCGACCAAAAACGGCATATGTTCAAAAAATCATATAAAATCACAGAATAGACATACAGACATGCCGTAAACGCCATTAGACTGCCAATACCATGAACAATCAGATGGCTATCTTCGATTATTGATTATCGTTCCGCATTTTCCAAAATCTTGAACTGAATCTTGGCAATTTCTCGTGACTACTTTACGACCATGATACATGCATTTCTTAAATTCAACATTTTTAGCCAAACACGTACACATATGATAAAATGAATGTCACCATCGTGCTCTACGCCCCAAATTACCCATAAAACATGTGTCACAGGCTGCGAATATCAGTTTTTATTTTCGGGGATATGTGCCTGCCCGGTTGAACTGACCTTGACCCTGACCTATGCTTGACTGACCCCTGCATGGAGCTGACACTCTTGCAGGCCTTCTATGATGGATTGTGCACCGTTTTGACAGAGTTTATGACGAGAGGCGCCCATTGCGAAGTCCTGAAGTCCATGCTACTGAAAGCCCGATTTCAGGTGTTTGACCTGACCTTGACCTGACCTGTGACCTCAAAATTCAACTTTAAAGTACTCATCTGAAGCGTCTCGTCGCGTTCTTTCGTTTGCCGCCTCGTGCGTTTCGCTGCGCCTATTGGTTCTCGAGTTATCGGCTGGGGGCGTTTAACGCCCCCCCCCCCCCAGCAAACGGTGGGTGGCGAAATACCCCAGCAACTGCCGGGTTAAGTCGGAGTCGGGGTCGGAGTCACCCTAAAATCCATCGAGTCCGCAGCCCTGCCTGCAAGTTTGAATCAAATCGACGAACAATCTAGATTTCATTAAAAAGGTTATTTTAGTGTCATTTTGACCACGTACCGGTTTTTGTGACCTTGTGACCTGACTGGTCACTGAAACCCAAAACTTCCAGGACACGTGTCAAATGATTGCCCCAAGCTGTTTCTAAAATTTGGTGGCGCTACGTACCGCGGCATTCACGCTATAAGCGAAAAATTCTGTAGTTTTTACCGCTAATCTAATCAATTTTATCCTGACCTTGTACCGTTTTTTTTTTGACCTGGTGACCTGACCTAAAGTGACTGAGACCTGAAATTTTCAGGAAAGGTGTCAAAAGGCTGCCCCAGAGGGCATACCAAATTTGGCGGCTTGTTATTCGCGAAAAACCTTAGGGGGAGGGGGTTGCATCAACCCCGCTCGCCTGGCGAGGGTTGAAATTCATATGATAATAAAGTTCTTTGTGCAGATGCTTTGATTTTGCCTGAAACGATCTTTTGTGTGTGCCCCAAGGCCCTGCATTGCTTCAAAATGCATTAAAAGATAGTATGCAGAATTAAAAACGGGTTTTGGCGAATTCGCCGTCGTCTGCTTCTTTCGCTAAAAACAATCGTTCAAAACAGGAATATGACTTGTTCGACTAAATCTGATTTTGAAATTTCAACGAACTTAGGATTGCCGAGCAAACAGGTGCAAGGCATGACGTTGAGCCATGCAGCGATAGATCCAACTCCGAAGTCGGAGTCGGTAAGATTTTGGTGACTCTGACTCCGGGCGAAACTGTCGACTCCGGCCGACTCCAACTCCGACTCCGACTCCGCAGCCCTGCTTATGCTGTCCTGATACCCTTTGCCACCCCTCTCCCCTCCAACGGGCCGCGGGGAAGGTTTCAGTAGGTTCTAAGCTGGCCGCATTGTGCAAACAACACTACCATTTGTCTTGGCGATCATCACACACTGGGCGTGATTGTCGTGTGTCGTCTGAGACGCGCCTGTGACTCGCTTGTGACACGTCCGTTACCCGTCTTTGACCCGCCTGTGACACGTCCGTTACCCGTCCGTTACCCGTCTGTGACCCGCCTGTGACCCGTCCGTTACCCGTCTGTGACACGTCTGTGACTCGCCTGTGACTAACCTGTGCCCCGTCTGCTCCCGCCCGCCTGCAGCGGACGACTTTGGTATCATCCAGCAGGAGATTGTGATGATGAAGGACTGCCGGCACGCCAACATCGTGGCCTACTTCGGCTCGTACCTGCGGAAGGACCGGCTGTGGATCTGCATGGAGTTCTGTGGCGGCGGCTCACTGCAGGACATCTACCACGGTGCGCCGCGCCGCCGCGCCGCCCGCAGGGGGCCCTAGTGTGGCGGCACCATTTCTCAGAACTTGCCCGGAAACGGCTGAGCTAAAGCAGCCTCTGGCCTAGCGGCGAATCTCGCCTGGGAGGCGTGGTCACGTGGTGCACCCAGTGCACACTCACAGCCGGCGCGTCTGATCCACGTGAGGTGCGGGCTTCCCTGGTCACCGGGGCGCGCCTGACCCGCCCACCTCTGCCCACAGTGACGGGCCCGCTGAGCGAGCATCAGATAGCCTACGTCTGCAAGCAGACCCTGCACGGCCTGTCCTACCTGCACAGCCTGAGCAAGATGCACAGAGACATCAAGGTAGGCGCCCCGTCCGCTGGCTTGTATATAATTCATTTTTGTGGATGATATAAAGATGTGTGGTTATGGTGACTAAAATGGCCGGCAGTCTTATCTGGTGCTGTCACTGTCTGTACCTACTAGATGTCGCTGATCTGCGGACTGTGCACCGCTGATGCGGCCAGTTCTACCTCTACTGGCTGTTTGTCGCGTAACTGTGTAAATTTGTTTGTCGCATATTACGGAACTGCTGTTGTTGTTGTTGTGTTGTGTTGTCCCTCCAGGCTCTGGTGAGCTGTAGCCTAACGGCTCTGGAGGTACCTGGCGGCCCTCGCCAGGGCCGCCACCGCGTCGTCCCGTCGCACGTCGTACGGAACTGCTCGTATAACCTCTGATGTCGACGTTTTGACCGTAGAACTTCTGACGTCTGTGTGTCTGGTGGGACAGCTACTGACGTCTGATGGTACAGCTACTGACGAGTGACTCAGCCGGTGGGACAGCCACTGACGTGGCCGGTGGGACAGCTACTGACGTCTGGTGGGACAGCTACTGACGCGGCCGGTGGGACAGCTTCTGACGTCTGGGGGACAGCTACTGACGTGGCCGGTGGGACAGCTACTGACGTCTGGTGGGACAGCTACTGACGCGGCCGGTGGGACAGCTACTGACGTCTGGTGGGACAGCTACTGACGTCTGGTGGACAGCTACTGACATCTGGTGGGACAGCTACTGACGTCTGGTGGGACAGCTACTGACGTCTGGTGGGACAGCTACTGACGTCTGGTGGGACAGCTACTGACGTCTGGTGGGACAGCTACTGACGTGGCCGGTGGGACAGCTACTGACGTCTGGTGGGACAGCTACTGACGTCTGGTGGGACAGCTACTGACGCGTCTGACCGGCAGGGCGCCAACATCCTGCTGACGGAGGCCGGGGACGTGAAGCTGGCCGACTTCGGCGTCTCGGCGCAGATCACCGCCACGCTGGGCAAGCGGCAGTCCTTCATCGGCACGCCGTACTGGATGGCGCCCGAGGTAGGCGCGCCGACACGGGATGGGGTATGTACGCGGACATCGCCGGGTAGGCACACGGACACAGCGAGTAGGCACACGGATGCAGCTGTCGAGCTCCCATCCAGCGATGCGAAGCTGTCGTGACTAAAGAGAGAATGTCTTTCAGCTCTATCAGGAGTACATATAAATATTGCATAATTTTTATGATGGTGCATTTGGCACATATATTTTTTCTTGTCGTTTTTTATTTACTGACGATTAATATAATAAGATATATTCAGAGTATGTTGTTGCGTTTAGGAATGGTATGCCACCCCGGTTGTAGCAGCCACCAGCTTGTCTGGCGTCTGGCGGCATTTGTCCTCTGCGGCTTCTGTGGGTCTCTACGCGCGCCGTGACTGTGGACAGATCCCGTCAATCCACACCCCCTCCCCCGCCGCGACCCTCGGCCGCTGTCAGGTGGCAGCCGTGGAGCGGAAGGGCGGCTACAACCAGCAGTGCGACGTCTGGGCGGTGGGCATCACGGCCATCGAGCTGGCCGAGCTGCAGCCGCCCATGTTCGACCTGCACCCCATGCGCGCCCTCTTCCTCATGTCCAAGTCGGGCTTCAAGCCGCCGCAGCTGCGCGAGCGCTCGCGCTGGTCGTCCGCCATGCACTCCTTTGTGAAGGTGGCGCTCACTAAGAACCCCAAGAAGCGGCCGACGGCTGACCGGCTGCTGGAGGTGGGTGCTCGCCGCCGCGCAGCCCGGCCTCTGGCGCGCAACATGCGCCAACGTGTGCTGTCAACATTAGCTGCTGGTTGAGAAAGCCAAATGCGGTCCCTGGCTCTCAATTACTGGTTTGGGTACTCACAACATCGGGAAGTGCCTCAATTTGGGGATATTTAATTTCTAATTCTGCAGTTTTTGGATTCAAAGGGACCAATCCATTTGAAATGTGAATGCCCCCTTAGACTGTGTGACATCAGCGCGGATCTAGCGATTTTTGAATATTTTACTAAACCCTTAGAAGAAGCATGGAAAAAGACAGTTGTTGCTGTGGTGATATATACTGCCTTGCGCGCAACATCCGTCTCACTTTTAAGATACCAAATTATAATTGCTTTCAAATGACGTCATAGAAACAGCGGAGGCCCCCAGAAATAAGCACAAATAAAAGTATAACATCTAAAAAGAAACAGTGAATATTTTTTTGAAATTTGGTAGATATTTTTGCTCTTTCTGGACCACGATGCATTACTTATTTGCCAATTCATTAATTTTTGTGAAGTAAGGAACTGGGAGGGTCCCTTTATCAGAGCGGGGCAGGTATTGGCTTTCGGATGACCTTATGCAGGGTGTCCGGAAATGATTTGCTCCTCCATCAGATCGCCGCCTAATTAATAAAAAAGTGCCCCGGGTCGTGGTTTATTTCGCGATTTTACTATCCCCCACCCCGTCATAGGGGAGAGTGGAGTAAAGCGAACCACTAGGGCAAAGCGAACCACCCCCTCTGAAGCCCCAATACATATACGTAAATGGCCCCTTTCAAAAACAAAGATAGCCATTAACAATGCCTTATGTTGGCACATTTCTTGTCACAGTGGCTCGGCTCTAGGAATAATTCGTTTTCAACCCAGGGCCAGAAATGTGTTATTTTCAATTCCCCTTCTAATTTTAGCATGGAATATATACCAAAATTAAGTTTAGACTTGAGATATCAACCTAAGTCAGCATCCGCACTACCGTCACAGAGACACAATGGTACGCATTTTCGGTTTGGCACGAACCCGAAATGGCTCAGCACACTGTGTTGTCGGCAATGCCTACTCAAATGCAGAATTTGGGAGTGGGTTAAAGTGGACCATTAATAAACACACTCGCCCCTTTATCGGAAAATTCAGAAAAATGCGATAGGCTAAAATTGAATTCGTTGTAACTAGCAGATGAATTAGAGACGTTAAAAATGCTCTTGGAAGTAAGTGGCCCTTGAGGAAGAAAGAAGCATTGCGGTGGTCCACTTTGCCCACTAGTTTTTCGAATTCAAAATGTGTAGTGGTAATGTTCCACGAAGAATTAAACCACTTTCAAAGTAGCTAAACAAAACTCGCCTGCATGGAAGTTTGGGCTGAAGGATTAAGCTGACACGTAGGCTGGTTTAAACTAACATTCACTACCACTTAGCCTGCTATCTGACGCGTTTCTTAGCTAGTCCGCCTTACCCACTCTCCCTACCCAGTCCCTCAATCCGTCTGGCATCCCATAGATCAAGATGTCCAGAGTATCCGCGCTGATTCAGCCTTTCACAGGTTCCTCTGAAGTTCGTTATCTGTGGTAGCTGGTTCCATCTGCTGAGCTCGTCTTTCATGTTTCCCCAAAGGTTTTCGATTGGGCTTGGGACTGAGGATTCGATTGACTTCCTGCTACATCCTAGCCTTCACCATAACTTCAGCGCAGTGACGCTTTGTCAAAGAGTGTTCTTTCGCCATAGTAGACACCACGTTCAGG